CCACGGGGTGGCACCGGACCAGCAAAATCAGGACTTAGGCTATGTCTAGACTGCAGGCTTCTTTCGAAAGAGGCTCTTTCGAAAGAGAGCGTCTAGACTGCACGGAAAAATTTCGTAATCATTTTTGCGCGCCCGCCGACAACCTGGGCTGGTCCCGGCCTCAGCGCACGGGAGGCGCCGGCCCCAGGCACACAACACGCACCGGCCCCGGGCCCACGGCACAAGGCGCTCGGGCAGCCCCAGCCCCGGCCCTAGGGCACATGCCGGCGCCGGCGCCAGGTGCAAGGGCATCCCAGTCCCCTGGCGTGCCCCTGGATGCGTGGCCCCGCCCCCGGGCGCCCGGCGTGTGAGTGGCCCCACCTCCCGGGCGCCCGGGAGCCTCTAAAGGTTGGGGACCACTGGTCTAGACCACCTAGGAGCTGACTTGGGGTCTAGCATTTATGTCCCAGATGTCCAGGTGTGTTTCCTCCAGACATTTTTCAGAGACCTGTCGGACACCTGTGGAGGTTGGAGCAAAATGCACTTTGCCCACGTCATGCTCACGCCATCAGGCTGCCACAGAGGAAGTACATGGCTCAGTTGTGAAGGCAAAATCCACCTTTCAGCCCAGCTCGAAGGCCTGCTGCAGCTGCGCCATCTGGCTGGCTGCTGTCCACCCCGGGCTATTTGCTCCATGCATCAGAGCCACTGGGCCCAATGCTTGTTTGCCTGTAACCTCACCCTCCACAATGGAATATTCCGGCCTGGCAAAGCCCCAATCCACCGGCAATAGAGATACTTCATGTGCAACTCCAGCATGGGCTTGTGTGGTGGGGTTAGGCCCTGTCCAGGAGGGCACATTTCCCATCTTGCAGCTGGAGCCCAAAGAAACACTGCAAAGTGGCCAAAGGCCTTTCCTGAGTTGAGCGTGACACAGATTTTGACCTTTCACTATTGGTGGTAAATACACCAATGGTGGGATGATAGGAATGACTATAGAGAACTTTTCCTGGGTGTCTGGCTTGTGAGTCTTGCCTACATGCTCAGGGTTCAGCTGATCGCCATATTTGGGATCAGGAAGGAATTTTCCTCCAGGGTTGATTGGCTGAGGCCCTGGAGGTTTTTCACCTTCCTCCTTAGCATGGGCCATGGATCATTTGCTGGAGGATTCTCTACATCTTGGGGTCTTTAAACCATCATTTGAGGACTTCAATATAGGTGAGAGGATTATTCCAGGAGTGGGTGGGTGAGATTCTGTGGCCTGCACTGTGCAGGGGGTCAGACTAGATGATCATAATGGTCCCTTCTGACCTTAAAGTCTATGTATGAGTCTATGAGTCTGTTTATGCACCAGGAATAGAATTATTTACTTCATTCCAATCGGTGACAGCCACTTGAGAGCAAGTCTTTGGTTATCTGGTGTTTTCCTTAAAACCCCAACTCCTGGGCTTAGCTGAGAATTGAATTTTTAAGTCTCTAGCCCAGGTGGAAAAAAGAAAAAATGGGACCCCCCCCCAAACCCGAACGATGCACGCTCCGCAGATGCCAGCCTCGTGGTAACGGAGCACTTGGGTAGGGAGGGAGGCTCCACAAAAGCCCACCGAGGCCTCAGGTCCCCCACGCTGCTGTCTGCGGGGCCAGGGGCGCAGGACCCCAGAATTGCTCGCGGACGAGCCCACGGGCGGAAGGGAAACCGGATCCCTTTGCTTAGCGGCCAAACCCGAACGATGCACGCTCCGCAGATGCCAGCCTCGTGGTAACGGAGCACTTGGGTAGGGAGGGAGGCTCCACAAAAGCCCACCGAGGCCTCAGGTCCCCCACGCTGCTGTCTGCGGGGCCAGGGGCGCAGGACCCCAGAATTGCTCGCGGACGAGCCCACGGGCGGAAGGGAAACCGGATCCCTTTGCTTAGCGGCGGGGGTGCCCCTTTAAGAGCAGGCTCCGCCGCGGGTCCTCCTGTACGCACGCGCGGGCGGGCAGCCTTTGGATCCTCTGGTGTTCGGGAGGCCGGCGGCGGCGGCGAGGAGCGCTGGGTGCGGGAGCAATGGGGCTCGGATCGAACTCCTCCGTGCGGGGTAGGCGCGCGGCAGCTTGCGAGCGGGGGAGCAGCGGGATGTTGTCTCCTGGCTGCTCGCCGCCCCCTTCCGCTTGAATTGCTGTGCTCGGGCTCCCCTTGCTCTCACCTTGAGGCCCTTCCCGCTCTGGCGGGGGTGTGTCTGGACCGGGTCCTCCCCACCTTCCAGGAGGGGCCTGGCCGGAATCCCCTCTCCTCTCTTGCGGGGCACTGCAGTAGCTGCGTGGTTGGGTGGCGGTGCGGTGCAGCGTGGCGGTGCACGGAAGTGCTGGCCGAGCCGCAGGCAAGGGACCTCCTTGGCAGAAGCCTCTCGATGACTGCGAAGATGGGGCTTTCCTGAGACGTGCAGTGACCTTCAGATGCTCTTGTGTAGCTGGTACCTTCGTGCAAGCGTGTATCCAAGTTTCTGGTCTTTATTAGCTTTAAAAAAAAAAATCTAGCACAATGGCCTCATCCCTGGCTCTGAGGTCTGGTTTTGTGAGTTTATAATGGTATGCAGAAGCCTCGGGATCTGTCCTTGCTTGTTGTACGTGCGGTGTAAACAAAGCAAACTACCTCTCTTTTACACACCCACCAGTGCTTCCAAGCAGCCCTTTGATGGGAGTTCTTATTAAAGAATCCTTATGAGTGTATGTTTTCTGCTCCCCCTTTCCTCTGCCCATTTGCCTTGTAGTGTATGCTTGGCTTTTCTCTTGAAAACTTAGTGATTGACTTTATCTTGAAAGTTCCAGACGACTTAGTATGGCTTTTCTCTTGAAAACTTAGTGATTGACTAACTTTATCTTGAAAGTTCCAGACTTAGTTGTTAAACACACAATTTTAAATTACAAAGTTTGGTGGCATTTCTGTAGCATTTAAAAGCACTAATCTATTAATGACCACTCATAACTAGGTTGCTACCTAAATAGTCATGTTTTAAAGTAATGCAGCAGAAAGGTGCATTAAATCTATAAACATAGTAACCAGTGCCTACCACTGTGGGTTATTGACTGGTACTGCAGTTGCTCAAAAACACTTTCTAAAAGTGAGTAACTCAGTAGTGGGGGGAGGGGAGGGAAAGCTTGTATAACCTTGGCTGTAGGGGCTCATGTGACTGAGTAGCATTTTGATGAGCAGCCAAGTAAAGGTATTTTACTGAGAGTTATAAAATGGTTACATAATAGGTCTAAAATTTGGGAGTAAGCTGAAAGGCTTCTGTAAATCCTTTAAAACTATTGTATAGTCTAGCCTGACTTAACAGTTTTAAATTTTTTATGTAGATACATAAGTGTCTACAGGCATTTAAAACTAATTGTGAGATGCAGGGTTTTAGGGTTTTTTTGGGGGGCTTTGAAATCCTGCTTAACGGCATGGCAGAAAATTTAACTTAAAAATTTTGACTTTCAGTAGTCTGACTTGCTTAAACTAGCCTTTACAAGTGGACTTGTTCTTGTTTAGCATCTAGCATTGGCTGTGTTAAGTAGGATGGTGCAACTCTTAAAATTAACCAAAAAACAGGACTATGTATATAGTCCTGTTTTTTGTTTCAGCTAGACTAGACTAACACGGCTACATCTCTACTACTATTCTAAAATGAACCACTCTGTCGACTCAGTTTGAGTCTTCTTCCCCCATTACTCCCCTCTAGCCTCTAATAATCATGACAATAAACTGGGAGGTGGTAGCGGTGATAAGAGCTAGCATAATTATTCTGAGAATAAAGTGGTGAAGTTCATGGTAGCAGCATTTAAAACTATGCTAACAAATACTTGTTTTTTGGTGGGGAGAGAGGTATGGAGAATGGCTTGGGGGAGAAATACATTGAGGCTACGTCTAGACTGGCATGATTTTCCGCAAAAGTTTTTCCATTAAAAGCATTTGCGGAAAAGAGCATCTAGATTGGCATGGATGCTTTTCCGTAAAAACACTTTTTGCAGAAAAGCGTCCATGCCAATCTAGATGCGGTTTTGCACAAGAAAGCCCCGATCGCCATTTTTATCATTGGGGCTTTTTTGCGCAAAACAGTTTTTAGCTGTCTACACTGGTCCTCTTGCGCAAAAACACTTCTGGAAAAGGGCTTTTGCCCGAACGGGAACGTCAAAGCATTTGCGCAAGAAGCACTGATATCAGACAGTAGAACATCACTGCTTTCGTGCAAAATCAAGTGGCCAGTGTAGACCGCTGGCAAGCTTTTGCACAAAAGCAATTGCTTTTGCAGAAAAACATGCCAGTCTAGACGCAGCCTGAGTAATGTTCTCACTAACTTTTCTAACCGTGTGCAGAATAAGTTATGTACACCACTAATAGAAGTATGTGCTGCCAGCTCTTATCAGCATAATACCCGGAAGGGTGGAACCTCAGCCTCCTCTGGGCAGCTGCCCTAGTGTTCAGCTTATTCTATTACATAGAAAGTAAATTCTCCATCTGGAAAGATGAATAGTGCTAAATATACAACCATTTCCAAATGTAATGTTGGTGATCTAGGTTTGTCTCTTCTTTTAGAAGCTTTAGTAAGTTGTATCCAAATTTCTATTATGTTCAGAGGCTGTAGCCAAAAAATAGTTGTGCTGGCTAGGCAATTTTTAATGGGGGTCCACTCCAAGATTGAGTGGTCAAGGGCTGTGCTTCTGTGGAGGGGTATGTGGAGCCTGGGACAGCAGGTAGGGTGTATAAGGGATTTTGGGTGAAGGAACGGGGTTATCTGGGTTAGGGGTTTGAGGAGCTGGGTCCAGGAGGGGCTTGAGGTGCAGGAGAGGATTCTGTTCTGGAAGATGGGTGTAGAAGGGAGTAGAGGGTCTGAGGGAGTTGTGACATGGTGGGGAGAAGGGGTACAGAGTTTGGTGATGGCCTGGGACAGGTAGTTTTGGGGGGTGGGGGGAGAGAAGGGTGGCTCCCAGGCAGCAGCTTCGCAGGCACCCTACCTGTGTGCTAGGTCAGCTGTTCCATGTGGTTCTGCTCTAGCACAGGGAGGAGAGAGTAAGAAGGATTCATTAGCTGTCCCTGCCTTCAGCAAAATTTCTCCCTGCCTAGTTTGTAGAGCAATTAGCAGCTTGCTTTTGAAAGCAGCAGTTGCAGCTGCTCTATAGTAAGGGTGCTGGAGAGGTGAATATGGGCCGGATTCAGCCAGCAAGCTGCCTCTTGCCCACCTGTTCCATGATGACTACAACAATGACCAGTTGCAGAATCTATTGTGCAATGGGTTCTTCATCACAATGGGTATCACCATCTGTAACTATCTAATTAGTTCCTGTTTGTGCATAATCAAACTAATTTCTGAATGTGTGGAATGCAGTGAGCATAGAATGTACATAGAATGAGCATAGTGAGTACATTTAATGATATCAACATGATACTTCAGGAATGTCAAATTTGGCTCTTGAGGGTGAATATGGCTTTCACTACACTGACAAGTGCTAGCAAAACTTCTGTCGGGAAGGGGAGAGGGTGTAACAAAACCCATATTACTGGGTGATGCTTACTGGTTCTGGTTAACCAGTGGGGACTAGAGCAGTTCCCTACCTTCCTGAGGCACAGGCTGCTCCAACTCTATGGGAGTCCACTGTGAACTAGAGATGTAGATGAAATGATTAGCTGATAAGTCTGTGTATCAGTAGGGCTCTCAAGTGATTAAAAAATTTAATCACAATAAATCACAAGATTAATTGTACGCGCCTCCCTTTTGAAACACTGCTGTGGCATTTCAATGGGGCAGCTCTGCATTGAGTCCAGGATCAGCTAGAGTCCCCAGCTGACCCTGGGGCTCCATGAAGTGCTGTCCTTTTGAAGTGCTGTAGTGGTGCACTGCCTCTTTGATGCAACAGGAGCCCAGGATCATCTGGAGTGCCTAGCTGATCCCGGGCTCCATGGCTGCCCCTTTAAAACACCGCCTCCACATGGTTCAAAGGGGAACTGGAGCCTGGGGTCAGCTGGGAACTCCCCAACTGACCCTGGGCTCTGTGAGGCATCTCCTCAATCTCGGGTCAGTCTCCAGTTGAACTCTGGTTCCACGTGGCACTTCCCTGGAATCTAGGGTCACCCGGGGACTCCCCAGTTGATAATGGGTTCCAGGAAATGCCCTGTGGAGCCTGGGATCAGCTGGGGAATCGCCAGCTGAGCCTGGGCTCCACTGTCCCTTGAAACATGCAGAGGCTTCCTTCCCTGGCTCAGCTGTGAGGCAGCTAGCCCTTTGAAACACTGCTTCTGCGAGGGCAGCAAGGCTAAAAACCAGCTTTCCTTGCAGGCCTGTTGTGCTGTGGGATAGAGGCAGCAGCCTCTGTCTAACATGGGGATCTGAGCTCCTGGATCCAACACAAGCCAGAATTGAGCTGGGCCACCCACCCACCTGAACACAAGCCAGAATTGAGCTGGGCCACCCACCCGGCTCCAAATATGCTTTAAATGCAGAGCTGCAGTAGGAGTAGGTCTTGAACCGGTTGCAAGCTGGGACTGAGCCAGGCTGCTAGCCAGCCTACTAAAAAATGTACTGGGAAGGGGGAGGGGAGTATGTGTAATCTAGAGCATTAGCAAAGGCTTATCGGTTTATCGACTACACTATTGTATCCCTAATGCTGGCTCCATGGAGCTGCCTGCTCCCCCTGTTGCTGCCTTCCAGGTATTCAGGGGCAGCAGTGTGGGGTGGGAGCAGCTGCTGCTGAATAGCCATTTTCCACTGTGAGTTGCTGCTCCATGGCATGCTGGCATAGCCTCTGTCCATGGGAAGCTGGGGGGGAGTGGCCCCTCAGGCTGCTGCTACCCTACCTCTGTTGGAGGCAGAAGCATGAGGTGGCATGGGGCTGCAAATACATTTGCTTCCTGTCAGCTTTGCCTTGCCCCCCAGGGGCTATTGAATAAATGTATAACCACTAAAATTTGATGCAGTTACACAATTAGTCAATTAATCGACATCAACATCCTACCGTGACTAGGGGATGCTCTAGTGTCGAGAGTAGCCTCTGTCTTTAGTGAACCTGGGTGCTCCGTAGGCAGGATCTATCCTGGCTGGGCCAGACCAGCTTTTGCCTGTGATTAGGGCAGCCATGGCCAACCTTAACTCCCCACCCCCTGGCTTCCCTATGCTTACTGGGTCAGAGCTGTAGGGTTTTAAAAATGGTGCCCAAGATGGTGGCTGTCTTCAATTTTTAATATTTTTTTCTCAATTCTGGTGCAGCTCCTTGCATTTTTTTCCACTGCTGTTTTGGCTCTTTTTTAAATGGGTTTGCCACTCCAGGATTAGGGTGTGTGTGGTGAACTGCAGGCAGGGGCTAGGTTGGAGCAACCCCCTGTGGCTGCCCCCTTTTAAAGTAGTTATCTGGTTTAAACCATGGTATCAAACATGCTAGCATGTGGCTATTTGGCTGGCTGTGTGTGATTAGTTCACTGTAGCAGTAGCTCCTATTTCAGAACTGATTGCACACCATGGGGTTAAACAATGGTTAACCAATTAAACAGTATTTTTACATCCCTTCTCCACACCCAGTGCTTCAGTCAGCCAGGGTATGGGAAGCCCTCACTCCTGTCACCATAGCTATTGCTACTCATTAGGTGTGGCTTAATTATGCCTGTGGGAGAGCTTAGTTAAGAACAGTTATGGAAAAACTCTTCAGCCCCTTCGGCAATTGCAGTGAAAGATGCCTCTGAGCTGCTGCTCCTGTTAACAGGGACCGGGGGGGGGGGGGAGGGGGAGGAGAAGAAGGCAGGATGTAGAAAGCAGATGCTCATAGCCCTATGTGGATACAGAATTGGTGTCTGCCTCTGCAAAAATGATCCACAGCTATCTGCTTCCATATCTGTGGATGTTAATGTCCATGGATTTGCAGGACTTTACAAATGTGCAAGAGGAACTGGGCTCTTCACAAAGATCATTAAGAAGGGTGTAGTAAAAAGTCCCACAATAGAGATGGGGATGTCAGGAATATGTGTAAGCATGTTTTATTCTCTGATTAGAATGAGTGTTGCCTACTGTATCATGTGATGGGTATGGCTTGCTGAAATTCCTAATATGAGGTGGCTTATGGCATAGTCAAGTGTCTTTTTAAATCTGTTTTTAAATAGACCCTTGTAGGCCTCAGATGCACATCTGCTTTATAGATGAGCAGTTGAGTTACAGGTTTTATATCTACAATAGGAGAAGATCTTCCCGCAAACTGTTATGCTGCTTTGTATAGAGAGAGAGACACCTGCTGTTTCTAGGGACGGGTGTTATGGCAACGAGGCAGGAGAATTCTGTGACAGTTGGGCAGAAACTTACAGTGCTGTCAAGTAGAAGACGAGGCAAAACCTGAAAGCAGGATTTTTTTTAAAAAGAGGATTAATTACAGAGAAGGAAAATGATATCAAGTGAGACAGAGTGCAAAGACTTAGATGCAGAGATGAGCATAAGATGACAAAGTGAGAAATGGGGAGAAACCTTTATCTAAATAGTTTCTTTGAGAAATGCAAGACCTTGGTACTGTAAAAGGTTCATGCTTTTAAGTGGGGATTTAATCTTTGAGTTTTATTTCAATTCCCTTTAACTGTAACTTAAAATTATAATACAAAACAAGTTCCTTTTATGCTGAGCATACAGTGGCTAACAATGTATTTAAGAGAATACTGTAAACTAGTTATAATAAAAATGTGACTACCTTGAAAATTTGGGTGGAGCTCCTTTCATTATTCATGTGGTCTTGAGGACTCTTAAACCTTTTCTATTAAGTTATTTTTAAAGGAACCATTTTTGCTCAACCTAAAAACAGTGCTGATGTCACTATGCTGATGTCGATATTGCTAATTTAACAAATGCTTGTAGCAGAGCTGTGTTTACATCAGTGATGTAGATGTCTGAACAACAAATGAATGGAAAGCCATGTGAATTCAATTTCCTCTATGGGCTTCTTGCATTTCTCCTTTAATAGAAAGGTACAAACTAGGTAGATATTAAAGTAAAACTGCTTTATTCCCATAACCCTAAACATGCCTAGTCCTGTGGCACCTTAGAAACAAACAGAAAATACAGGATCATAAGCTTTTGTGGGTAAAATCCACTTCATCTGAGTAGTAGTGCAAATAACAGAAACCAAGACATATCATATTAAAAGCAGCTACCTATCAATTGTAGGTCCTGTAATAGCAAAGCAAATTAAGTGGGCTTGATGTTTTGTTCATAGCTTTTGGTGTGAAAATGCCAATGGCTTTGTAGTGGGTTAACAAGTTAATGTCTTTATTCAAGCCCAGGGAAAGTGTCTAATTGGTAAATGAATTTGAGTTCAGCAGCCCCTCTCTAATTGGGTAGTGAAATGCCTTGTAAAAGAATAGCTACTTTTAAATCCATGGTCGAGTGTCCAGGCAGGTTAAAATGGTTCTCTACAGGTTTCTGTTACCATTCTACTTGTCCATTTATCCTTTGTTGCAGAGACTGTCCAGTTTGGCCAATATACATGGCAGGGGGCATTGCTGGCATATTTCACATAGAGGATGTACAGTTGTATGGGCCTCTGATGTGGTGGCAGGTGGTGATGGGGCAGGAGGTTGGGTGTAGTGGGGGGTTCGGGAAGCAGGCTCTGGCTGGGTACCGTGTAACTGAGACTGCTTACAGGTGGTGGAGCAATGGAGTTAAGGCAGGGTTACTCCTGCCATGGCCCTGCACCACTCCTGAAAGCAGCTGGCATGTACAGCAATGGCTCCATGGTGCCATGTGAGCCCCTCCTTTATTGGAACTGAGCCCACAGCTTGTACTGGCCATGGTTCTCTGTTACTGAGTATTGGGAGCTGCAGGAGTGGTGCCAGCAGGCAAAGATTGCTTTTGTAGACCCCCAGCTCTGCCTTTCTCAGGATCTGCAAGGACATGCCTGCCACTTTGAGTAACAATTACAATAGGGATAATTACTCCAGCCATGACAAGTTAGGCATTTTAGGACTCACTACTCATTTCTCATGCTTACAATTAATTCTGAGAATTATCAAATGCACAGACCAGTCAAAAACAAAAAACACACTTCACAAAGTAAAAGTAACAACCCCCCACATATGTTGGGTCTGGAGATCATAGAATCATAGGACTGGAAGGGACCTCGAGAGGTCATAGAGTCCAGCCCCCCGCCCTCAAGGCAGGACTAAGCTCTGTATACACCATCCCTGACAGATGTCTATCTAACCTGTTCTTAAATATCTCCAGAGAGGGAGATTCCACCACCTCCCTTGGCAATTTATTCCAATATTTGACCACCCTGACAGTTAGGAATTTTTTCCTAATGTCCAATCTAAACCTCCCCTGCTGCACTTTAAGCCCATTACTCCTTGTCCTGTCCTCAGAAACCAAGAGAAACAAATTTTCTCCTTCCTCCTTGTGACACCCTTTTAGATATTTGAAAACCACTATCATGTCCCCCCTTAATCTTCGTTTTTCCAAACTAAACAAGCCCAGTTCACGAAGCCTGGCTTCATAGGTCATGTTCTCTAAACCTTTAATCATTCTTGTCACTCTTCTCTGTACCCTTCATTCCCTTCTCTCTGTGGAGATAGAGTTCAAAAGTGAGAGGAGGAGGGACACCTTGACATCAGTGCCCCTTTTCTCCTTTCCACACCTGCACAGCAAGCAGGAGGCTTCCAGGTGTCAGCTCCAAGGCAGAGGGCAGGAGGAGCATGACAATGGGTGGAAGGGCAACTGAAGTGCCAGCACTTGATATCTTGACTGGTCTGGCCAGGAAACTCACCTGTCAGGCTCCAAGATCTACCAGTAGATCCCGATCTACTGGCTGCCCACCACTGTAGACAATGGATAATCTGTGTCCTGGATGGAAGCTAGCGATATGTAGGTAGGAATAGTGGTCCATAGGTTTCCAGTACAGTACAGGGTGGTGTTGACAATACAAATAAATGATGGCCACATAGTGTCAAGGTGTGGATCTCTTCTGTGGACTGGTCCAGGTTGGGGTTGATAGTGGGGTGGAAAATAGTCTCCATCCTGTAGGTTTATATGAGGATGTCATCAAAGTAGCATAAGCAGAGGAAAGGTGCTAGGGAACAGGAGCTGAGGAAACATTGTTCTAGTCAGCCATAAAAGTATTGGCCTATTGTGAGGCTGTGTAGGTATCTATAGTAGTGCAGCTGATGTAAAGATATAAATTGTCCCCCAAATTGGAAATAGTTGTATGTGAGGACAAAGTCACATAGCTCAGGCACCAGGTGTGCTGTGGTATCAGGGAGTGTTCCTTTCAAAGCCTTGTGTCAATAAGTAGAACTGCCCTTTAAGCACAAATATGACTCTGGTTTGAATTTCAACCTTTGAATGATACATAATCATTGCCTTTTCTCTTGCTCCAGTTGAATGGATTGCTACAATCTCATTAGCTGCGGGAGCGGCTGCTGTTGGATATCTAGCATACAGAAGATGGCTTTCTAAAGACAAATGCTGCAAAACACTGGTAAATCTCCATATCCAGAAAGATAACCCCAAGGTAGTCCATGCATTTGATATGGAAGATCTGGGCGACAAAGCTGTGTACTGTCGTTGCTGGAGATCAAAGAAGGTGAGAGCGGGGGGGAGTTTAATTGCAAGAATCCTCTTAAGCTCTTCTCCTTCTTACTGTTAATATTTCTGTTGAATGAAACAAACTATTCTTAATTGAAATCTAGGGTAGGAGTGAAACCCAGCAGTTACTTCCTAATTTTGTAGAGAACATAATACATCTGCAGTTGTAAAGATTCAGCTTTCTTTTATACTATAAATGGTTTTAATAAAGGAGGGCATTCACACCATGGATTAGGGATGTAAAATCCCATTTAATTGATGAACTGGTGAAATGTAATGTTTCCCCAATTAAAGGGGAGGCAGGTGTGTGTGTGTGTGTGGGGGGGGCTGCTCCAATGCAGCTGGGCTGGTGTGGGGCTGCCCTACAACAGACAGGGCTCTGGACTGCTCAGGCTAGGCCTGCTGCACACAGGCTGCTATATCCAGCCAGAGCTGTCCCAGCCCAGGCCTGCTGTGGGCAGGGGCTGGAGAAGCCCCCTCCTTGTGGTGGATGGGAAGCTGCTCTAGTCTGAACCAGTTAATCATTCATATCCCTGCCATGGATTTAGCAAAATATCCATATAATTGTAGAGCAGGGGGTTCAATGAGCCACAGAAAATCAGTCAGGAGGTATACCCAAGTGATTGGGGGGGGGGATTCCCCCTGTGGCCCCTGACTGAGAAGGTGAGACACTCCCCACATTCCCTTCACACACCAGAGCTTTGGGCGGCTCAGGCTAGTAGATTTTGTGTGCTCCAGCCCCATGGGGAGACAACACAGGGAAGAGCACTGAAGCACTAGTGCAGGCTCCTCAGTCTTGGGCGGAACCCTGAGCTTTGGGTTGGATCCAGGAAAGCTAGGGGCTGGATCTGACCCTCAGGCCTTGGGTTCCTCATTCCTGTTCAAGAGGTACCTCCTAGCTGGCAGGATCTTGTAATCACTGCCCTGGGACAGGGACCCAACACATACTAGCTGACAGTACCACTCTCAGTGAATAATTGAGATCTGTCTGCAGGCTTGAAATGTTGTCTGACTCCTGTAGGTAACATTGGAACTAGTGAGGACCCCAGTTTATTTGAGATCAGGCTGTGCATATAGCCAGTGTTTCCCAAATGATGTTCTGAGGAACCTCGGGGTTCTGCTAAGTAAAAATAAGGGTTCAGTGAGAATTCCATTACAATAACATTTTATTTTTTTAAATCATAAAATGTTTAATATTTGTTTTTTTAAATGTTGATCTCAGGACCTTGTTGAGCATTTGGTTATTATTACCTTTACTTATTTGTGGTCTACTTTTTCAGTTCCATATATTAGACTGTTAGGGGTTCCGCAAAATTCTTTTGAGTTTAAAAGGGTTCCATGGCCAAATAAAATTGGGAAACACTGCATATAGCTCTTTAATTGTCTGTTATGCTCAAGGATTCTTTCACCCTTGTGTAAGAGGAGTATGAGGGTTTGGGGAGGAGGGTGCATTGTTTGGGTGCCTGGAGCAGCCAACAGAGAAAAGTAAATGGGAGTAGGATTAGTGGGGTGGGAAATGTCAGAGCTACTGGCTGGGATCTTGTGCTAGGGTAAGTTGCTAGTCCAGGTTGGGCTATAGAGGACAGGACTTTGTCTTCCCTTGCAAAAAACAGTCTAGACTAGATCAGACCCCACTTCGCTGGCTTTGGAAGCTCTGCATCATCCCTTTCCATTTTTGACTCTTTATCACTCTTCCTTCATGGGAGGGAAGCCAGCATAAAAGGTGTTCCTCTGTTTGCCTAACCCCTGTATATCCAGACTCACCTCATACAAAGATGACTCAAACCTCCCCTCTGAACCTGCATCCATACTAAGGATGTTAAAATGGAGTTCTTTGAAATGCCTGTTGACTAGTCAATTTAGGAATGTGGAACTCCACGTACAGTCCTTTGCTGACCCTGGGCTCCATGCTACTGCTGCATGTCACTAGGAGCCCAGGGTCAGCTGGGGACTTGTGAGCTAATCCCGGGCTCCAGGCAGCTGCCCCTTTGAATCACGTGGCAGATGCTGTGCGGTGGCTATCCCTTTGAACCATAAGTCTGGTGCGTGATTCAGAGGGGCAGCTGCAGGGAGCCTGAAGTCAGCTACGGACTCCCTAGCTGACCCTAGGTTCCCTGGGAAATACCAGACATATTTATAGTAATATAATTGCTTAAATATCTCAGTTCACTAAGATGTTTATATTCTTTCTTCTCCCCCATTAAATATCCTCACTGGTGCTGTTTGACCAATAGTAGCAACTTTTTTGAGCACTGGTGTTGGCTGGCTGGTGGTGTCCTCATCACCGCCTTGATATGTTTTCTAAAATGTCAGTGGCTGCCAAAACTTGGTTCAAATTGGGGCTCTGATAGCAACAGTGGAGAGATTTTTATTTTTCTTAAGTCAGTCTTTACATTTATAACAAAATTAAAACCAACTCTTCGTCAAACAAGTTAATCAGGATTCCATCAAACACCAGTGTTTCTTATAACAGAATCCTATTAACATAACTTCAAAGTGTGTTGGAACAGGCATGTCCAGTCTAACTTCCTGAGAAGTGTTGGCAACAGTCACCTAAGAAGCTGACTTTAATGTGTCAATTCAAAAGATAACTGTATTGTCAGGGCTGAAATTCTAACAATAAGCAAGCTTATTTTCCCGATTCTGAAAAATGCTTGCCCTCCCAGATAATGGCTGCAACACAGGTTGTGGTTGGAAGGAAGCCCCTCAGAATGTTTAAGAACATTGACACAAATGTCTGTAACTTGCAGATGCTGCCTTGGTTATGATTTTTAAAAAAGGAATGAGAGCCTGCAGGTCTGGAGTTCTCCCCTGGCTTTTGTGGTTAAATCTAGGTTTCTAATCCTTGATGAGGAGGAGGGGATTACTCTTATATAAAACCATTGTCAGATGAAATTGTGGGTTTTTTTCCCACTTCATTGGTAGCTTTGGGGGGACTTAAAAGGCATTTAATCAAATACTGTGGTGGTTTGAAGTTCTGCTGAGTTAGCCAAAGTGATTTGGTGGTAAAAATGTATTGTGCAGAAATACTAGTATTCTGTAAATCTTGAACTTGGTTTTGGAAAGTTAAATTTGTCACTTGAAGCATTGGTTCTTGTCTTTCTGCACCTATCTTGTTAGAGATTAACAGCCTCTACAAACCATCCTGGAGCAATTAAACAGGGTCTAAGGTACCTTTTGATGGCTATTCTGGTTGGGCACACAAGTCAGCTGTTGGGAGGTGGCTAAATAGCAAAATTGCTATACCTACCTACCTACCAAAGCTCTGCTATGCATTTTCCTGTATGGAGTGTCTTATTTTCTCTGCAGCAAGAAGGAATTTAAAGATTGCTGCTTTACAGAAGTGTGAAACTGTTGAACAATATTATCAGATCTATTCTAGAAACTTCAGAGTCTAGCAAAGTCAATCTTTTTTCCAGTCATCTGAAGTGGGCTGTGCCCACAAGTTCATTATACCATCTACATGTTTTGTTAGTCTATAAAGTGCTACCAGACCATTTGCTTGCTGGTTTTTTTTCTGTAACTGACTAACTCGGCTACACCCTGAAGCTCCTAGAAAAGTCAGGAATCTCAAAGTCTATAGTGGCAAAATCCCTAGTATAGATGCAGTTACACCAACAAAAGGACTTTTTTTGGGGGGGGAAGGGAGAAATAGTGAAATGGCATGGCTTACTTGAGTCTTCATTTGGAGATCTGACTAGTTATATGGACAAAAGAACTTGTCAGTATAAACTGTCTCGCCACTAAGTAGGATTTTAACTAGGGATGTAAAAGGTTAACTGGTAAGCCTTACCCTTAACTGGTAGGGGCTAGAGTCACTCTCACCTGCTTGCTTGATCCTGCAGAGCCTCTAGCACATGAGCCATTATGTATCTGTACAGGCAGTCCCCGGGTTACGTACAAGATAGGGACTGTAGGTTTGTTCTTAAGTTGAATCTGTATGTAAGTCGGAACTGGCGTCCAGTTCTGACTTACATACAGATTCAACTTAAGAACCCCAAGTCAGCTGCTGCTGAAACTGATCAGCCGCTGATTCCAGGAAGCCCGGGGCAGAGCAACTGTGCCTCTGGCTTCCTGTAGTCAGTGCTGGTCAGTTTGAGCAACAGCTGACTTGGGGACGACTGGGGCAGAGCAGCTGGGGTGCTGCTGGGTTGGTCCAGTAGTGCCCAGAGTGGCGCTGCGGGACCAACCGGCAGCGCCCCAGCTGCTCTGCTCCAGGGTCCACAACAAAAGCCTGGTCTGCTGGGGGAAGGGGGGCACACTAGCTGCGCCCCCCCAGCAGACCAGGGGAGCAAAGCCGCAGCGGCAGGGGGCCTCGCCTCTGAGGCTTTGCTCTGGCACGGGACCCGCTGCCGCTGTGGCTTTGCTTGCGGTGCCCCTGGTCTGCTGGGGACGGTTCCCAGCAGACCATGGGCACCGGGAGCAGCTTTTCTTGCCCCGGAGGTCGAGGTGGCTGACTGCTGCCTGCAAGCTCCGGGGCGAGAGAGCCCCGTTTGTAAGTGCGGATCCGTGTAAGTCAGACTGCCTGTAACTGCTAAAAAACCTTATTTCTCAACACACTTCTACATCCCTAATTTATACAGATTTGTTCTAGTGTAGGGACAAGGACCTAACAGGTTCTTGTGCAAACATTTGGTAATGTTCATTGCACTCCAGAGCCCTCCTTAGGGAATAGGGAGTTGGATCTTTTTTTGGGGGGGGGGGGTGGAGAGAGGCAGTGTGGTGAGGGTGTTCATTAGGTGAAAAGGAAATTTGAGGCCAGCCTAATCTGTTGTCTTGAATCAGTCTGAGATTGGAGTGCCACAGTGTATTGAGTTGGGGTTCTTTTGATTGTTGTTGCTCCTATGTCTTACACTCAAGTCATTTTAATGAGCATTTACCCCAGGGGTGGGGAAACTAAGGCCCAGAGGCAAGATGAGGCCCCCAGCTTGCCTGATCCAGCCCCTGAGGCTCAGGGCTCCCCCAGCATTAGGAGCGTATGCTGGTGCAGACCACACAATCTACTAGCCTGGCCCCCCCTAGGTTCCAGTGTGCAAGGGGAAAGTGGGGAGTGTCTGTCTTCTCAGTCTGGGGTCACGTCCATGACGGTTTTTTTTGTTTGGCTTCTAACTTGTGTGCGGCCTGTGACTTTCTTTTTCCCCCTCCCCCTCCCAGGGTTCAATGGCGTTCAACCCAAAAAAGGTTCCTTACCCTGCCAAAACAGATTCCTTGAATTGTATCTTTACTGAGTGAGGCTATTTTCATACTTATGGGTTATTTTTTCTCTTTGTTTTTTTTCAGTTTCCATTGTGTGATGGGTCTCACACGAAGCACAATGATGAAACTGGGGACAATGTTGGGCCTCTGATCATCAAGAGAAAGGAAGCATAAACTTGATTGCTTGAGGCCACTATTCGTCACATATGCTTATTAGTAATTGGAGTAAACAAGTTCTGTCTTAGTCACTTCACTGAAGATCTTTGGGTGTGGTATAAAGCAGGCTCCAGCATGTGTATTTCATGGTGCTTGTCTTGTTTTAAACACTACATATGTAAGTTAAATATTTGTGGCTTAAGGCTATTTTTGTTTCAACTGTATGTACACTTTCATTAAGTATGAAATTAAAGTGACAATTAGAATGTACTCAACTGTATGAAGATAATATATTAAACTATTTTCAGATACTTGTGTTCTGCTTTCTACTTAAAGGTAGATTTTCAATAGAACAAGTGTAATTAACAAATTCCTTAGTGAACCATGTTTAATCTGAAATTTACCAAAAAGGCAACTGATACTTGGATGAAAATGTGAATCCCTTAAAGGCACTAATGGCAGAAAAGAAATCATGGTGCCAAGTGCATGAAATGGAACTGAACACTACCCTCTTCTAC